AAATCCGGGCTATTAGCAGGATGATGGAGCAATGTGATGCCATGTCGCTCAAAAAACCGCTGCGTTACATTTGCCGTATGGGGCCGAGCATTGTCCTGCATGAATATAAAATTTCGACGTAACAGATGCTGCAGAGGCAAAACTTGAGGCCGGAGAACATTATTCACGTAGCGAATAGCGTCATTGCTGGAGGTGGCAAAATTATTAATTCAGTTCGTCTCGTCATCGAAATGCATCCCCATACTATCACTGAACCGCCGTTATGAGCTCTTATTCACATAACGCAGCGTCGATCATAACGCTCTCCTTGTCGGCGCCAAATGCGTATGCGAGCATCATTGCCGTAAAGGCAGAAACACGACTCGTCCGAAAAATAAACGTTTCTCCATTGCCTCGCGGTCCAATTTATGTGATTTTGAGCAAATTGAAAACGAGCCTGACGATGTGCAATTGTAAGTCTTGGCACCTGTGTACGAGAGCGAGAACGAAGACCCACCTCTCTTAAGCGACGACGAATCGTTTGTTCGCTGACATGATGTAAAGTAGGAACTTCACGTTGAACACACCTTACAGTAATCGTTCGTTTTCTCAAAACGTGGCGAACAATTTCTCATTCTTGTCGAACTGTTTTTATACGATGACGGCCATTTCCTTGACGTCTCGTGTATTGTCCTGTCTCTTGATATCGTAACCACGCTCTATTTATTACAGATACGGATACACCGACACGTTGCGCTACATAACGCATACTGTACCCTTCTTCCAGAAGTGCGATTATGCGGGCAACTTCGAATGCTGGCAAGTGTCTGCGCGGCATTTAAAAAATTTGCAATATGCGACTATCTTTGTTACAAAGCGTGAACTTCTCAATAGCCTCAATCGAGAAAAGAGAAGACTTGAAGTTCGCGCTAAGCGAGTTCGAGAATGTGCGTCTATAAGCGAGAGTTTTGTGTTCAAAATCAGTAATTGATAATTCAATCTAACTGATCTTTGACGGAGCTATACGGACACAAATGGATATTTGTCAAATCTAAAACATATCGTATAATTTTGTACACACTTTACAAAGGT